TTTAGGCTCGCCCAAGTCCATCAAAGTTCAATGTGCTCAAAAAATAAAAATTAATAAATATATTAATTAATTAATTTTTTTACTGAAATTGCAAGTATCTTAGAAAGTATTAGTCCTATATAAATTGATATATTGACCTGTTTTGTAGAGAATCGCAGTAAGCACAAAAAGCTTTTTTTAGCACTTGAACTTTGATGGACTTGGCCGAGCGTAAGATATTGACCAAAAATTGTCATCATTCAACAGATTGTTTTTAGATCACAATGAACCATATTTTTACTATTACCAATCGGAATTCTAAAAAAATCGGATTTTCGGCCCACCCTAATGTACAGTAGACTGCAGCTATACAATAAAAAAATCGGTACTGCTTTTCCACTGGAATTATAAAATCTATTATATTTTAAGACTTCCATCAAAATATCTCGCAAAAATATTAAGATTTACGTGAGCTGGACCGACTTGAATATACCTCCAAAAATTGAGTTTTTTATCAATAAAAAGTTTTTTTTTAATATTTTTTGAAAAAAATTACGTCAGATGACTAAACAGTTTAAGCTTAAAAACTTTTCATAAAAATATTTTGTCAGAACACCTACACCTACACCTACAAAAAAGTTAATTTCCGCCCCTGGATTCGTAATACTGGGGTTTTAAAATGCGTCTATTTGATACCCCTTTTGGCAAAATTTTTGATTCGATGATTACCAATAATTTACCCAAATGTCCGTAAACTCTGGAAAATTGCCGTAACAATGTTAATACACGGCGAGAGTTTCTTTATTCACGGATAATCTGAACGAGGTCTTTTCATGTTGTCTATTGTACGGAATTCATAGAAAATTGCATGAAAATAATGGCGCTAGAGAAGCCAATTAAGTTTTTGCAAATTGTTTTGCGGAAAAATTTAATTAAATATTAATAAGCTGAGACCCAATAATTTCATTCTCTTCTGTTTCTTTATAACCATTGTTCCTGGTTAAATACACGACTATTCTCTTCTAGTTCCGGACTGCATAATACAGAAACACGCCCACGATCAATTAATAGAAAAAATTTGTAATATACGAACAGTGTGCCAGACATGCATTTTAAGTTCAAGCGGTTGTAATTTCTATTATGACTTTATTACTCATTTGTAAGATTTTGAATATCACTTTATTTCACTTCTTGATTGGAAATAACGTCATATGGTTTTATTTCCAAAACAAAGTGGAAATAAGACCATATCGACTGCTGAGTGGAAGACCGGCCTATCTCGGTCAAGAACGCCCTATTTCAGAATTTTATTGAAAACCTCCCTATATCATAATTCGGTTCAAAAACGCCCTATCTTATTTCAAAATGTATTGAAAATGTGCTGATATAGGGCGTTTTTGAATCGGCAGCTGAGATAGGGCGCTTGTGAAACGATTTCTGAAATAGGGCGTTTTTTAAAAGTTTTTTGAGATATGACGTTTTCGAACTGGCTGCCGTGATAGGTCGATCTTCCACTCAGCAGTCGATATGGCCCTATTGCGTATGGCGTTATTGCACTCCACCAATTGGAAAAGTATCACAATTTGTACAGTATAAAAGAAAGAAGTGTCCCTCCGAAATGACAGAAATACACTAGGAGGTTTTCAATAGCCTGCCGAGGAGCGACCGCTGTTCAGAAAAAGCCTTTTTTCTATATTTTTTTTCGATGTTGCTTTAACCAGGGCTTGAACGCAGGCCCTGCGGAGTGGAAGAGCGCTCTACTTACCACTACACCACAGCGGTCGCCAGCGGCGGATCCAGAATTTTCTGATGGGGGAGGGGGGTTTAGGGTTAGGGTTATAATAGGGAGGTTTTAGTTTTTTAAACTATATTGTTATATAAATTGTTGTTGCTTTGCTAGCCGGCAATTACAAGTACCTGATGAAGATCTTGCAGAAGCAATGAGCTTAGCCGACGACGCTTTAAAGGAATTTGAAGAAATGCGACAAGATGCAGAAAAAAACTTTGATTTGCTTTTCGAACATGTAGAAGAAGTATGCACCAAACTATGTAGGTACAGAAATCAAAGTACCGCGATACAGCAGTCGCCAAAAGAATCACTTTGATGTGAAAAACGAAGACGCCGAGGCATACTATCGCATTGCTTTTTACATTCCCTTCCTTGATACATATATTGCTCATTTGAAATGCCGGTTCCTAAACCACTAATCAGTTTTAAATAATTTTAGTGTTTTGTTTCCAAAGTATGATTTTAACGAAAAAAATCTGAAGAATTGTTTGCTTTCTATGAAAAAGTAATCGACTGCTCGAAACAAAACTTTCTTCTGGAGGCAAAAATGTGTAAAAACGAGTTTCACACGAACATTTTCGAAATGCTCTCGAAACATTACAAGTAGCTAATACAACGTCTTTTGGGAATGTTTTTAAGATCTTACGTATATTGGCACTTTTGCCTGTTTCAATAGCCACACCTGAACGAAGCTTTTCATGCCTGAAAAGAATTAAAACCTACTTGAGAAATACAACACGATACCTACAAAGAGATATAAATTTTGTTGTCACTTCTACCCAGTTAAATATGTCGTGGTTTTAATTACACCTAGAAAAAGACCATATCGCAAACGTTCTTAAAAAATTTCACACACTAGATATTGCGGTCCTGCTTACCACCAAAAGTTATAGCTGTGCCATTCAACAGCTTGGCAAAAATAAGCTTCACATTAACTTTATACACGAATTTATTTGATTCTATGTCATATGTAGAAGATGGTGAATTTGGTACGAACTTCCACCATCCCTTGTCTAAGTTCATTTCGTAGAACAAAAAAGTTACACTGAGGCCCAATTTCAGATGGCCTATTTAGTTAGAGATTGTTGATTAACTTCAACAATTCATTTTCAGATCATACATTTAAACTGCACTTAAATGCCCAGCATTGGCTATTTAAATATGAGATATGCAACCCTGTGTTTGTACCATACAACTAAGATTGATAGGTAGGTTATTTTATCAACCTTGGCAAATAACAATCAGCTGTTCAGTAGAAAATGTAAACAAATAAACAAATGCAACAACAATTTCAAGGACCAAGCTAAAGTGTTGCCACTTGTTTGGCATATTTAAATAAATTTGATCTGAAACCCAACGAAAGTGGCAAGACTGATCCCGAATACGTTTCACAAGCAATGTTTTATCTATGCAGAGCAATGCAAAGTATGCATAACATAGCCTTAAGTATGTTTTTGCTTGTGTTTACAGCTTCGTTATTTCGTAACCCTTTCCAAGTTTTACATTATGTTTGGTTAAGGTAGTGGTCTATATTTTTAACCATTCGATTTAAGAAAACAGATTCCTTAATGTATGAAATGTTCAATAAATTAGCTACTACATTCCTAATTATAACTTCACCACTTATAGTCAAATTTGCATCATATTCCTGTAGTAATTGCTCTAAATCCTTCCCAGTCGGAAAAGTAGTAATGCATTACATGCGTGATAAATAATATAATGTATTTCTTATGAGTTCTCGATTATATTACTGCTAACTATGTAATCAGCATTCTAATGTATTCAAGAAGTTCCAAAAATTTGAAATTGAATGCCCCACTTTTCTTAGGACATCGCCCTGCGAAAAAAATGCATTTTCGAATATGAAAAGGGCTGTTTTACTGATTTTTTTTTTCGATTACTATACATTACATTTTCCCACTGGGTTCTAATAATCTTTTCGTATCTTGGATTCTCTGCATTACAAGCCAGACATATCTTCGAAAGTTTCAATAATTTAAATTAGGTCGAAGGTGTAATATCAGTGCACTTAAGCGCCTTATCTTATCACCTCTATATCGCTCAGGTATACAATGGTTCCATAACACAGGAGATCAATATCCAACTGCGAAGTGCAGGACATTCGCCAGTTAGTTCCTTACAGACAGCTCTGTCCGAAGTATGGATTTCTTTCTACGTAAGGTACGGATTTCTAGCCAAAATTAATGTACGTGTACAGATTTTTATTTTTTCGACCAGGAGTATGGAGTTTTTTACAGATTTTCTGGGCTTTTTTCATATTGTAAAAATTTGCGCGTCTTGCCCAAATCTAGGTTCGAACCGTAAATGCATATTTCGGAATATAACAGTCGTGAACGTACTGCTCGTCTGGCAGTAAGGATCGAATTGAACGCGACGACTTCGGCTTTGCAAGCATAAGCAGCTCACTCTCGTGGGTAAATGCTTACCCGCCTGAAGAACGCCACAGAAGTCTGGAATCATGGTTGGTTTCGACCGTTTAAAAGTTTACTTTTTAATTTACTAATTTAATCTTTCGGAAAGCTGCGGAGCTGTTGTGATTATTGTGCTTCATTGCTATCTCAATGGCGTCAGTTTGCATTGTCCACCGTCGGCAACGAGGAAAGTTCCGTAAAACTTCAAGAGCAGTACTTTGTTGTATGGAAACTGGCTTTAATTGAACACCGAACATCAAAATTTANGGATTTCTAGCCAAAATTAATGTACGTGTACAGATTTTTATTTTTTCGACCAGGAGTATGGAGTTTTTTACAGATTTTCTGGGCTTTTTTCATATTGTAAAAATTTGCGGGTCTTGCCCAAATCTAGGTTCGAACCGTAAATGCATATTTCGGAATATAACAGTCGTGAACGTACTGCTCGTCTGGCAGTAAGGATCGAATTGAACGCGACGACTTCGGCTTTGCAAGCATAAGCAGCTCACTCTCGTGGGTAAATGCTTACCCGCCTGAAGAACGCCACAGAAGTCTGGAATCATGGTTGGTTTCGACCGTTTAAAAGTTTACTTTTTAATTTACTAATTTAATCTTTCGGAAAGCTGCGGAGCTGTTGTGATTATTGTGCTTCATTGCTATCTCAATGGCGTCAGTTTGCATTGTCCACCGTCAGCAACGAGGAAAGTTCCGTAAAACTTCAAGAGCAGTACTTTGTTGTATGGAAACTGGCTTTAATTGAACACCGAACATCAAAATTTTCATTGAAAAAAAAACACGCCTATAAAACACACACGCCAGCTTTATTTACACATAATATCATTTTTACCATTTGGCTTACTTTAATAATATTTTAGTACACAGGTATAAAGTTTGACTTGATTTGCTCTTGAATATTCCTTCACTATAATCTTCCACCAAGCCAATCTTCGCGTATAAAGTCCACTGCCTTTTCAGCAATCATAATTGTAGCCGCATTCGTATTGGCAGTGGGCACCTTTGGCATAATGCTGGCATCGGCAACACGCACGTTACTACAACCGCCCAACTGCAGGCGTGGATTCACGCAGCCTGTCGCATCCTCCTCTGGAGCCATTTTCACCGAGCCCGATAGATGATAAGTCGTGCTAGAGAAATATTTTATATAACAGCGCCAGTAGTCATCGCTTTGCAACCTGAAGTCATTGCACTCCGCGACCAGGGGAAATATTAGAGCGGCCTTCAGTGCTTTAAAGGCAGTTGTGTTCAGCAGCTTCTCTTGGAAGCGAATGGCGCGCAGCAGCGTTTCCAAATCTTCAGGCTCCTTAAAATAATTGTCTACCAGTTTGGGTGGATCCCTGTAATCAACATTCCGTAGACGCACGTTTCCCTTAGATTTTGGGTTAGTGAGTACATTAAATATGCCCAAAACGTCGGCAGTTTCCAACGCCTTGCGTATCTCACCTTTGTAATTATCGTCAAAATTTAGACCACCAAGAAACACTTCTAAGCTACCGAAATCGCCGCGACGCATAATGAAATGATGAAATTCAACATCCGGATACGGGCCATTTTTGAGCGTATTGATAAATCCAGTTAGCGAGGTAGTGCCATGTGATATCAGTGGTCCTCTTCGGTGTATGAGATAGTTATAAGTGGTATCAAGGCTATCTAAGATTGTACGTGAAGGTGCCACATGCTCGTTCAGTTTCAAGAAAGTGACAACCTGCACGTGGTCTTGAAGATTATCACCGATTGGCAAGTCGTGGACTAGCGAAATATTTAACTGCCGCAAGTGTTCCGCTGGACCAACACCTGACAACATCAACAGCTTTGGTGATTCAATCGCCCCAGCGGATAACACAACCTCTTTACCGATATTAACACGCATCTTGATTGAGCCCCGGATAACAAAACTCACTGAACGTACGTACTTGCCACTCTCATCGAAGTTCAACTTCGTTACACGCGCATTTTTTATGACTTGAAGATTAGGTCGTTGAGAAACTTTCGAAAGGTGTCCCTTGCCAGAGCTCATGCGGCGTCCATTTTGAATTGTACCTGGCAAGTTGCCATAGCCCGTCTCGCTGCCTTCAGTGAACTGACGCACGCGTGGTATGCCCAACTCTGCGCTCCCTTGATAGATTAAAGTTTCAATATCCGGATCATTGAATGGAAAATCATTGAGTACTACATATCCCTTCCCATTTCCCACCGGACGAATCGAACGTTCGAAATAAGGCAGCACATCGTCCCAACCCCAACCAGTGTTACCGGCATGCGCCCATCCATCGTAATCGCCACGATGACCACGCACGTATAGCATGCCATTAACACCACCACTGCCGCCAATCATTTTGCCGCGCGGCCAATAGCAGCGCTTACCAACCAGCGCCCAGCAGGCCCTATCGCTGTGCTCGGTTAAATAATTCCAAGTGGCGTTTGTGTGTTCCAAACTGAATAGCAGTCCAGGCACCTGCAAGAATATCGAAAGTAGTTAATTTTTTAAAATAAGTAAATCAATATTAGCACTGCACATTTCTTCATTGCACACTCACCTCGGACTCTTGCGGAGGATCACCGCCCGCTTCCAATACCAACACTCTCCAATTTGGGTTCTCACTTAGACGGCTGGCTATCACTGAGCCCGCAGAGCCTGCGCCCACCACTACAAAATCGTATGTGTCTTCCCCTTTTCTCAGCAGTTGGGCAGCGTAATCTGGGGGCCACAGGTTGGGCGGTGAGATTGCGCATTGTGCGGCTAGAATCGCCTGAAGTAACGCGTTCACCATAGAGTTGATTGCACCGACGCTTTGAGCTGCACATTGAGTCGCCAGAAGTGGAGACGACATTACGAAAATATTGTTGCTAAAATGTTGAAATCTTTATTTGTTAATTTAATTGAAAATAAATACGCTATTTTTGATGATATTTCATGCTTTGCTTACCCGATTGCTTTAACACAATGTCAGGCAAAATTTGAATCCACTTAAAGTATTCACTGCGTTATCATGAATAAGGTTCGTTTCGTAAAAATTTTAGAAGTTTTCTGGCTGCAGGTCACTGGTTTACTGACAGAGCGCATCGCTAAGCTTTCCTTTTTATAACAGATTTACACAACAGTACAAAAGTGTTCAATTCCGCGTCATCGTTGTAGCTTCTATCTGTGTCAATGTCTGTTTGCATATGTTTGTTTAATTAAATTTATACTTTTTAATGTTTTATTACAACTGTAAAAAAAACTTGTCAATGCACTCGCATTGCCAGAGCGGAAACAATAAAAGTTGGCTGAACTGGCTGAAAGTAAAAATCTAAACTGATTAATATTTCTTATCATTAAATCTTTAAATCACAGTTATCTTCTATATCAATACAAAGAATGTATTATTTAACACTGCTTTTGAATCTTGCATCCGCTAAATTTCTTACCTTCAAAACTTCGCTTACTTACTACACACACTGACCTACAATCATGTCTAGGTTTGAATAAAATGACGTCAAAAATTAAAAACACGGCTTTATTACTCTTCGATTGAAGGTAAAAAAAAGTATTCACCGGAATTGGACTGCGGTGTTGATGATTCAGATCAGGAAACCGATTTAAATCGCCCAATAAAAATATAAGTCTATACTCTGAAGGTGGGGAAGCTAAACTGGTGTACACAAGTTAATCATGTTGTGTGCAGTACCTGATATAAAAGAAACGTATGATAATATTGCACTTTTCATTTTTCATTTTCATCTTTTCTTTATCTTCGTCTTTGTTTTTTGTTTATATTATTGCCTTTGCATTAGTCTTTCCCAGCCCAATTGGCGTTTAACGCAGCTATTCGTTTTCTGTACCCGCCATATACTACTTTTACCGTGACGTTACATATTTATCGCAAACATGTCGGAGCAGTAATAATAAGATTCGCTTAAATAATTTGAATTTAACTTTTTAAACAGGTGGCCACCCTCTTCATGCATCTGAAAATATTTTAATTGTTGTGTTTCTTAAGACTCTTTCTTTTCACGCTTACTGTAAAGTATTTCATGCATAAGACTTCTGTATAATTTAACAAAATTCGACTTTTCAAACACGTGGCAACCCTCCTACCTGTAGCTAAAAAAATAGTGTTTATTCAAAACCCATTTCTTTTGATACCCATATTGGGATAATTCATTTAATTTAATAAATAATTTGAATTTGATTTTCGCATATATGGTAACCCTTTAAAAACTAAAACCATATTGCACATCTATAGGTCAAGCCGTTTCATTTGGCGCGTCACGTTTTAAAATCGAACGAACGATACAGATTTGATGACTTGGTGGTAAATATTTAATGCAAATAAGTATCTGCGGCAGAGAAATTTTGAACTCGATTTTCTAACATCTAGCAACCCCTTTCATGGAACTAATAGCGTTTTCTTTTCTCAAAAAAAGTTCTGCCCTTTTATATGGGAACTCTTGCTTTGCGTTGCCCTGAAACCTGAGAAAATGTTGCGTTCTTTATATGAGAATGAAACAGAAGATATACGACTCCATCACAATTTATTTATAGAACTTAATAAAGCTGAATTATTCACTTGGCCTGTAAGTCTTTAACAATTTTAAAGCAAAACACTTATTTCTGATAGGGAAAATAATTGCATTTTTACAAGATTAAATTAAAAATCAACCATGCCACTCTCACCCTCACGTTTATTTGAGGGCAGAAAAGGCAGCACTTTCGCCGGATCAGAGCGCAACCTGCTGAGAAAAGAACACGACGCCTTGTGAAAGGGCTGAGAAAAGAACATGAAAATGTGACAGCGCTAACACAAGGCAGAATAAGTGCAGCCTTTTTTCGAGAAAAGAAAACGCTATAAAGCTATGTTGCTCACCCAGAGGACAAGCGCTTTGAACTGATTGGGCCTTATCAGTGTGGCTTTAGACCTGGAAAATCCACCATAGACCAGGTATTCACAATACGCCAAATCTTGGAAAAGACCCGCGAGAAAAGGATCGACACTCACCACCTATTTGTCGACTTTAAAGCCGCCTTTGACAGCACTAAAAGGAGTTGCCTATACGCCGCTATGTCTGAATTTGGTATCCCCTCAAAACTCATACGGCTGTGTAAAATGACGTTGAGCAATACTACCAGCTCCGTCAGAATTGGGAAAGAGCTCTCCGAGCCGTTCAAACGGGGCTTCAGACAGGGCGACTCCCTTTCATGTGACTTCTTTAATCTGATGTTGGAGAAGATAATAAGAGCGGCGGAACTGCTCGGGAACGGAACAATTTACTACAAGAGCGTGCAATTGCTGGCTTATGCCGATGACATCGACATCATCGGTAACAAAAACCGCGAAGTCTGTTCTGCCTTTTCCAAGTTGGATAGGGAAGCAAAGCGCATGGGTCTGGTGGTAAACGAGGACAAGACGAAGTATCTCCTGTCATCAAACAAACAGTCAGCACATTCGCGCCTTGGCACCCACGTCACTGTTGACAGTTACAATTTCGAGAAAGTAGAGAATTTCGTTTACTTGGGAACCAGCATTAACACCGATAATAATGTCAGCATTGAAATCCAACGTAGAATCACTCTTGCCAACAAGTGCTACTTTGGACTGAGTAGGCAATTCAGGAGTAAAGTCCTCTCTCGACGTACGAAAACCACGCTCTATAAGTCACTCATCATGCCCGTGCTGGTATATGGCGCAGAAGCATGGACAATGACAACATCCGATGAGGCGGCTCTTGGGGTGTTTGAGAGAAAGATTTTGCGGAAGATTTACGGTCCTTTACGCGTTGGCGACGGCGAGTACCGCAGACGATGGAACGATGAGCTGTATGAGCTTTACAACGACATGGACATAGTGTAGCGAATTAAAATACAGCGGCTCCGCTGGCTTGGTCATGTCGTTCGAATGGACACCGAGGATCCAGCTCTGAAAGTATTCAACTCGGAACCCGCTGGTAGTAGCAAAGGAAGAGGGAGGGCCCCACTGCGATGGAAAGAAGAAGAGAAACGAGTGGCGTTTACAGTGCCAAAAAGGAAGAAGAAGAAGAAGCAACCCCTTTCATGAAACTAAAGCTATGTTGCTCAGCCAAAGGACAATCCCTTTAATTTGACACCACATTTTTGAAAATCGAACGAACGATAGAGATTTTATGATATGTTGTTAAATATTTAACGCAACCATCGCCGAAGTCGATTAAGAAGTTGTACTTAAAAAATACTAAGCAATGTCACAGTACAATAAACCCTCCCGTTTTTGATGAAGATTATGATGGCTTTGTAATCCAGAAGTGCGTAATTACTGAATTACATACATATAATGCAAGGGTTTTTCTATCATCTTTTTTTGAGTGGTTTAGTCTCCCTTCTTGGACACGAGAGAGCTTTACTATGACCCAAAAAACTGAAACTTCTTCCTAAATATTACCAAGGGGAGGTTGCATGCCGGAAGCCTTTAAGCGAAACCGATAAACGTTCGGATTCCGAGGTTTCTTCACACGGCGCACCTCTTCGGCTATTCCTTTTATTTCAGCATTTGAAGCTATGAATAAATTAGTAAAAGATTGCTTCTCTACAAATGAAGTCGGACCCGAATTGGACAAACATATAAACGAATTAAACAAAATTTTTAACAGTTCCGGGGTTTCAGAAACCTTAACATTGCTTTAGCTTTTTATACAAAAGAGGATTGGGTTTATGGTTAGAACAGGCTGGCGAATCGACTCACAGAGAGTTTCTAAAATTTAGGCAACGATGTAAGTTAAATGTTTTTGGAGACCCTAGCTATTCAACACAACTAAAAATAGCAGTCATTGAATTCTCTTCACGGCATATTTGAATAAAAATTTTTGAGTTTGAAATACATTGCAGCAATGAAGATGTAAGCTTTAAAAATAATTATACTAAAAAAGCTAAAAAAAAATACAAAACGATAAGAAATAGATAAAAGCAAAAAAAATAAATAATATATAAAAAAAATAAAATTAAAATAAAAAATATATAAAAGGAACTATAATACCACCATGTCCACGTCGTTGGTTCTGGGGGGGAAGGGGGTGAAGGTGGTATATCCGAGTATTAAGTTTAAAGCAGTGGAATTTTTCCTTAGGTACGTGGCTGCCCGTGAAAAATTTATAATTTCCCAATTTCGCGAAAATATGAGCAGCTACAATTTAAACTCATCAATTGTTGACCTTCAATCGAACAGTAATAAAGCTGTGTTTTTCATTTTTGAGGTCATTTTAGTCAAACCTAAACATGGTTGAAGCTCACTGTGTACACTACTGCTAAACCTTTTTATGAATTACTCAGACATTTGATAGAAAATTTCAAATTATTTTTATTTTTTGTTTTAGAATGTATTGAACTATTTTTGCTACATCCCCGCAAACAAATTCTGACCGTGCTGAATATATATGTAGTCAATACAGTATATGATCCAAGTTATGAGCCCGCACTTTATGCCAATATATAAACAATAAATATTCGAAATGTATATCTAAGCTTGTTTACACAGATAAAATAATTAATTAAACAAAATATGCAAAATTTAACTGCAGCTACTGTTTTTAAAATTTAAATGCATGTTGATATGTACGTACATATATGCATATACTTATGTATATACATACATACGTACATAAGTGCTGTTATATTTTTAAATATATTTCATATTTAATCTTCAGAGAAGGTTGACGTTGTAAATCTTAAAATAAAAGAACAAAAGAGTCAGAATTTCTGAAACGGGCCACTTCAATTATGTGATATTTTATTTCCAATCAGCAGTGGTATTTTTTGCATAGCATAGCTTTTTTGTCCTTTTTACTTCAAAATTCAATTACAGACGATCTAATTGACCGGTTTGACAATTCAACCGTCATTTTCATTGTTATTAAAAACTCTTCAAGAACAGAGCTTTTATTTATTTAAAAATAATTTTTTATTTTTTTTTTTTTTTGGTTAAAATATAAAAATAATAGTCTTCTCCACCACTTTTTCACACAGAAAAATTTGGATGAAAAACTTTGCATAATTGCGGAAAATTTTCTGCACTAAAAAGTTTGTTCGTCACTGTATGAGGATAATATTTATTTTATCTTTAAATACAACAAATGAGTTCCTTTTTTTCT